CTAAGTGTCTTGGGGTGCTAGAGGAGTTCTTTTCCATTAGCTTTTCAGGTCACTGCCAAATACAAACCTGCAGTCTGGCCACTGCTGTAAACTGCTGTCCCAATTTCTCCCACTGGTCATTAAATCTCAGTAACAGAATAAATTCATTGACAGAAAAAAATGACGAATTTCGAATTAAGCACAAAACCGTGAACTTCTGTGAAAGTACTGTACGTCGCCATGTTGATGCAAACTCACATTCGAGTTCCCACAAATTGCGAAATGAAGCGGCCCTTCCTGCTCACTAGTCACTGTAATGACTAATGTAATGTGATGTACAAGTGAACAAATACAGGTCGTGCAGCAGACATTTCAGTGCAGAAATGTTCCAATGTGGTCTGCATGGAGACTTAACAAGTAGCATTTGTCGGAAAAACCGTCTCGAAATCGAGAGCAATATTTCTATTGGATTAAAAGAGATATACTCTCAAGCCTGCTTGTTTACGATGTACTGTAATAAGGCCGCACCGGAAAGCTTTGTCTATTTTGTGATGTGCTATAAATTGGAGGTTTTACAAGTTACTGTGTGCATTTTCCTTTTATTGCGGTTTGAAATGCGCTCATCGATGCTGATTCTTTCTCATCCCGAAATAAAAAAAATAGCGTTCCAGTTCCCCTTTAAAGTGTAGATTTATGACCACAGGCTCTTCTTTAGCTTTCCTTGGGTCATTCCCAGATATTTCTATTGTCATCTCTTTTTTCTGCACACCCACGACTTTTACCTTGTCTGAAACTGATTTTACCATATCCTACTCGAACCAGACCAGCCTTGTAGAGGAGATGTAGAATGCTGCTCTTACACACTGGAATCTGTATTTCATGTTGGTTGTACTCACCGGCTGGACGTTGTAAGCCAGTAACACAAACCTCTGGTCTGGAGACACTTGGAACCTTGTGGCTTTCAGGTTGATCTATGGGGGAAACACAATGGGGACCGATAAGACACAAGCACTGTCCCTAACATGCTGACCAGCTCTACTCTATTGGGACAGGCTCATTTCGACCAAGGCTGAAACAATTAGGCGCACAGCCCCGTGCATTTAACAATACATCAACTTTTTTTTCGGCTGAAAAAACACAGGATTAAATATCACATGGAACAATCCATTGATGTAAAGTATGAGCCTTGCTAAAAAGCCTCTTTGCTCTGGGTCACCTAGAAGAGATGACCCAGATATGCCCTTCAGCACAACTCTGAAACTTTCAGCGCGTGTTCATGTTCCCTAAGCATCTCTTTAACTCTTTTAGGTAATGGATAGAAGTGAAAAGGCACTTCCTACAAAACTAGAGATGAGCACTCTGGGTCCTGGAGGGCTGGTGCCTCTGAAGGTTTTCAGTCCAGCACAGATCTTCATGAGCTAAGGCAGCTGGTTACTGGCTTAATTGGACCATTTTAACAGCTACCAGCAGCTCCTCAGCTGTTTCTGCTTTAGGGAAACCTGGACACTTTGTAGACACAGCGGCCCTCGCCCACCTCTGTGGGCTTCACCCTGTGAGAAGGGCACGGTCTTACTTTGTCTGTGTGCTGCACTGTGGCTCTGTCTTTCTCAAACTCCTCACCTCTGACCTTATGGGGATCTCTAGCCTCTAAACTCAAAACTATCTGGGTTTTCATCTCACTCTGCCATCACCGCTCCTCTCTCCCATTCTCCAAGCCTCACTTACAAAGGTGCCGTTCTCCACCAGCGTCGAGACCTGGTTTGTGTTAACGTTGTGCTTGATGACGTGGCCCTCCCTGGTCCGCAGCGTGAGCTCGTGATCTGAGAAGAGCAAGAGGTCGGGGGTCAGAGGTCAGAGAGCACAGGAGAAGGACACCTCATTGATCCGGAGAGGTTGGACAACTACAAGTTCCTTCTTGGACAGAGCGCTGAGAGGGGCAAGGAATTATCCAGACACCGCGGCTTTGAGTCAGCTGGGGTTCTCATGAGAAGCCGTTAAACAGCATTTCCTGTGACATCCTGGATAGCTGCAGGCCTTCAGCGCTGTCAGTGAGACACACAGAAACTCCTCCAATCTGCACCAACCCTCCTGTACACCGCTGCAGAGCTGGAAGAGTGTGTGAATGTGAATGGTGTAATAGGTGGGTGAATCAGAGGAGCATGTCTGTCCTGCCAACTCTCCCCCTGCAGGTAAAGGTGCCATGGGAGACAATGGGATTCTTAATTTCTCCAAAGAGCAGGGTAATCAAAATGGTTATGCAAGAAGGTAGAGTTAAAACTCTGAAACAAAGATGCCTTAAGGAGATGGAATCGAAGCCGTTACAATTCTCCAAGTATTGTATATGGCAACCGATTGGGACCAGACCTCTAACTCGGACACAAGGATCAAAGGGCCAGCCATCAAAGATGAGGGCAACACATTCTGAGACTGAGAACAGGTGGTGCTTGTGGTTGCTTTAGAACACAGTGCTAGCTGTGGGCAATCAAGAAGGGCCTGGATCGTGATCTTGGGTCATTAGCCTACTCACATCTTACCAGAGAAACAAGCAGCTTCCTTTCATCTGCATCCTGTCGTGTTTTCTTAGGTCCTCACCTATAAACTGTGGGAATCACCCCACGCTACAGTATGTCCTACTAATGATGTTCTCACCATTGAGCCAGGCCACCATGGGGTCATGGACTCTGAAATCCTTGCTCTCCAGGTCTTCCAGGGTGAGACGGGACAGTTGCAGGAGGCGGGAATCGTCTGATGCAGATAGAGAACCAGCCACAAAGAGACAGGAAACGTCATTTTTATTTTGCTACTTGCACAGGCATATCCTGACGTCCTGAACTACGGTAACAAAAAAAAAAAGCACATAAGTAATTCAGAGGAAATTTAACGTGACGGGTTTACCTGTCAGAAAGGGCCAGGGAATATGAAAAGCAATTTAAGCGGTGAATTAAAAACACCAGTGGAGTCAGAGGCTTGAGTTGCCTTGGGGAGAGAGCTCCAAAGCTTTGGCGCATTTCGACTCTTTTAGAGACGGAGAAGGTGCTGTGCTCTGAATAAGAAAGCACCACACTGATTCAAAAAATGCCGCATTCACAACACGTGTCACCAAACTAAATCTGAACCTGTTCTGATAAGCAATTCAGATCCACAAGAGTTCGCTGACCTCTTTTCTATCTTATTGTTGGGGTTGATTTTAAAACAAGACCAAGCACTGTTAAGACTCTTTCTGGTGCTTGCTGGTTCCGATCTCCCTGAACGGCCGCAGCCTGTCTGCATTTCTGGTATTCTTCATTCCAAGTCTGCAAGGAATGCAGGCTTAATACTCGGACGACCCCTTGCAGCCACACTCCCTTCATTAGAGTTTACCGTCTGCTCCATCAACACATCACAATGTCCAGGTCTCCCCTGGGAAAAAAATGTCACGTGAACTCGACCGGGACTAAGTAAGGTCAATATTAAAAATGCATTGACTGAGGCCGCGGCCCAATTCTAGTACTTCCTCCTAGTCTTTGGAAGGGCGGAGAAAGCTTGGAAACAGAAGCCAGGACACTGAGCGGCTCTATCTCCCCCAGTTCCGCTTGACTCTGGCTCCGTCCAGCCTGCCTACAGCTCGCTCTCAATCGGATTGGAAGAGCTATGTCTCCCTGGCATGCAACACATTCCGAGCTTCGGCGGTGATCACATTAGCTCTCCTTTCCGAAACAAGCAGTGCTTTGGATCCCTTCTGCAGGAAAGAGCACTTCGGGAAGGAATTATGGGAAACAGTGGCATCGCTCGCCCATGGCTGTCTAGCCACACCCCCGTAGGGTGAGGGTCACTTACCGGGGCTGAGCAGAATGATGGACATGATGACCAATGACAGCACCACCAGGATCACCACCACGGCGATGCCAATCCCCTTCCAGTTGCGGGGAGGGGCGCCCGACCCCCCCATATCCTGGGGAGACAGTAAGCGAAGAAGGGGGAGAAGCCCTCATTAAAAGGAACCCAGCGTTTCTTCCCCCTTCACAACTCCGTCTTTTCAAAGTTAGCGTCTCTCCCCTTCCTTCACTCCTGCAGCCCCGTTTCCCGTTTCCTGTCTTTTTCCTTTCCTTGTTTTATCTCCCTGCTGGGTGGGAATTAACAGCGACACAGCTCCTGGCTGTAGAAGCCATAAATCAGCATGTGTTCTCATTTCCACGTAAAGCAGGGGGATCTTAATCACCATTCCCCTCATCCGAGCACTGAAGACCAGCTAGGGAGCAGATCCTTTTTCAACAAAAATGATAAATATAAGAATATCAGCCTACGTCGAAGGACTCCTACAATAAACATATGTCTAAGAACATGTGAACACACCACCTGATGAGATGATACTGCTGGCACATATGTTGGCTTCTTTTGTTTATAGACATCGCTCTCAGAGAAAGCAGTAACACCAACAGTTCATTTCCTCTGTGCCTGTTTAATGACGGCATCAAAGTATTATTTTGTGATGTACTTTGGGATGACACTATATCAAAGAAAGCTTATTATTCTTACTTTGGACAATTATTTTATCTTATTTACAGAATTGAATGACCAGTCCTCCTCTCCTATTTTTTCATTTTTGTACACTGCCATATTGCAAATTTAATTTCTAGTTTTTTTTTTAAAATGTTCAGAATCTCTACCTGAGGAACTCTTAGGTGTTTTACAATATGGACTGAAATTCATTCCTTTTAAAAGAGGAGTTCTTTAAAAAAAAATTCAAAGCCCGTACAGAGTAATATTATTGTGGGTTAACATACAAAGAAGATTTAGAAGAAAAGCCCAGATAAACAAGAATAAAGTGACAATCGGGATATACAGCTGAAACCCAGAACATTTTCAAAAAATAAAATACAGTAGCTGCTTCAGGGAGCGGGACTGATTTTGTTCTTTCATTTAAAAGAAAGAAAAACTTTACAGTGGGCTTCATTAGAAATGCACACCTGAATGACTTCCATTTGTCATTTAATTACTCCACATCCTTAATTTTATATTTTAGTTTCAACGTGGTTTGGGGCATCTTAACGAAATCCTAAAAGGTTTCTTTTAAATGGCATTTTGCTAAAAAAAAGCCTTTTGCGAATTTCCTCTAAATGACAGTTTCACATAAGTTAATTAACTAAATTGACTGTAAAGCTGTTAAAACACGCAAAAACAGCATCGAGCAATGAGCACTGCCCTTTCCTGCAGGGTATCAGATAGCTGCATAAGCCACGGGAGGTCTGACAATAGCTCCCATATTCGAGGCAAAAATCAAACAATGGCAATTAATCTCACTCCTTCATTTAAAAAAACACTTCTGTTATATGCCTGATTTTACCTCCGGGGCCAGTGTGAGGATTCGCTCACGAGCTGTGCTGCTTCAAAGCTGTGAGACACTGTGAAACACTTTCCACACCTCAATTCCTCTCACATGAAACATCAGCTGTTTTCACCCTCACCCATGAGAAGATAAGGACAATTACAAACGAGAGGAGGCCAGTTACCAGTCAGCCCGTCTAGCACGTGTGGTAGTTAGCAGTTAATTAATCCCAGGATCTCATCCTGTCGTTTCATGAAAGAAGCCAATGTATCGGCTTCAACAACATGGCTGGGCAGCTTGTTCCACACTCCACACCCACAGCCCTTTCTGGAAAGAAGTGCCTCCGGTTCTCAGTTTTAAATGCACTTCCACAGAGTTTCCGCTTCGTGCCCTCTGCTCATGTTTCACCGTCCGTTCTGAAGACGTGTGCTGGGTCGAAGCAGAGTCTTCTGGGAAACAACAGAAATGCTGCATTTCTTTGCCTTTAAAAACCTCTCTCTTCTAAACGGACGGTGCCAGGCCGTGCTAAATCACCGGGATTAATGCAGCGCCTCTGTCGGAGAGGGCAGAGTTGTGATCGGGGGCACCTGTCCTGCAGTTACAGGTCGGTCATCACTCAGGAACCCGCGGCGCCGTGTCACACAGCAAAGCAATAAAACCGCTCTTTCATTAACATCTACCACTGGGGCAGCTCTTCATCACTCCCCCTGCCTTTAAACAGACTCCCCCCCACACTCTGCACACACACACACCCAGAGAACACATTTATCTTGCAGCTCAGGGGCAGGCTGCCTCTCTCTCTGGATTCCTATTCAAGCACCGAACACCAGCATTAACCACCCTGCTGATCATACAGACTGGTTTAAAGCACCCAGAAGGCGGAAACATGATACAAGGAGTTGTGCGTACTGGATCACAGGTGCTGTGAGTGTTTCGATACAGACCACTGCACCGCCCTTCCTAGAGGTGGCAACACTGAGCCAAAACCAGCCCAGGGCCTATCGGGATGCACACAGTAGAAATACACGTCTGAAGCTAGTGCCTCATTTGTGATACACAGCACAACTCTGAACTCCCAGTGCTTTTGTGATATGTGATTTTACCAGCCTCTGTAATGATTACACAAGAAGCTGAATGTGAATAAAGCTAAATGTGAGTAAATTATTAATAATAATAATTGCTTACACTCATATAGCGCTTTTCTGGACACTCCACTCAAAGCGCTTTACAGGTAATGGGGACTCCCCTCCACCACCACGAATGTGCAGCCCCACCTGCATGATGCGCCAGTACACTCACCAGTGGGGAGGAGAATTGAGTGATGAAGCCAATTCATAGATGGGAACTATTAGGAGGCCATGACTGGTAAAGGCCAGTGGGACATTTGGCAAGGGCACCAAGGTAACGTCCCTACTCTTTTCGAAAAACGCCCTGGGATTTTTAATGGCCCCACTAACAGCCACCTTAGTTTTTCCCAGGAGTCTCCCATCCAGGTACTGGCCAGGCTCACACTGCTGAGCTTCCGTGGGCTGCCAGTTGTGAATTGCAGGGTGATATGGCTGCTGGCCATGACTGAGGGGAACAATACACGGGCACCTAGGGTTCGGCGCCCTGTGCGTCAGTGTGCACTGGAAAAGTGTAGGGCAGGCTGCTTTTTAAGAATGCAATTTCAGAAAAAAACTTCCTGCCTTTGAATTGAGCCAAATCTGTTTTTTTTTAATTAATTAAAGGCTTCTTGCAGTTCATGGGCATGTTCTCAGATTACATTTATTCTCTGCTTTGCGACAGTGTTCTTTTTTACCACGATAAATCATGCACAGAAAGTGCAAGTGAATTATTTTGTATCCCCTTTGTATTCCTTTGCAGCTGGCTCTCAAATCAAAGAAGGCCCCAAGCCAGTACTTTATGGTTCAGCATCGTGATATTTGTACAATTAACCTTACAAGGGGGAGATTCGAAGCAATCAGAGCCAGGGAGATATCAACACCTTCTGCAGTCGTGCTGGAAGAGTGCATGCTGGCTAGTTTGTTAGCTCCGTACGAAAGGGGGTAAAGGGTTTGGGCATTGGTATCACTCCTTCTTTCTCCATGAAGGCAAGACTGCTTGAGAGCCTTTTTTTACTAGAATTGTAAATCGTCACTCAGACAGGACACAGAAGAGCAGCTCACGCTGGGATCTGCAAAGATTGAGCAACAGAAAAGTGATAAATGAATTCCTGCACCTCCGGGCCTTAAAATATTGATTTCCTTTCATCGTGCATAAGAAATAAGACATAAGAAACTCAAGTTCAAAGATTGTTTTAAAATACAAGGCGGCAGGTAGCTGGTCCATATTCAAAGCTGAATGTAAAATGAATGATCAGATGCTGGTGAAATCCCAGCCTTGAGCTGATGCTGCTTTGGGAAACGCCAATGGAAACAAGCCCTTCAAAGACTGTCACTAACTGGGCTGCATTGAATCATTGCAGCAGGGCAGTATGAAACACAGGGGAATCTGAGCTGGGAGCGAAAAAGAAGAAACAAAAGCCATCATGAGATCGAGCCCATTCCAGCAGTGGTTAAGAAATCATTCGGCCATGTGATTACACTCACAGACCGGCAGAACTGGTCAGATTGTAATCCATGACAGTTACAATCCACGCAAAGCTGTATACATTACAAATATGAGATTTTTTAAATCTGATATATAAGAATCTACAACATTCTTAAAATAAACTGGGAAGGAGATCCACAGACAAGAAGCTTTAAGCACAAAAAAATAACATATAAATGCCAATATCAGTGAGGTACAAACCAAAATACCCAAACAGTAAACGGGAGGCTGGTCCATACGTAAAGCTGAACTTAAAACAAATGACTGGATGCTGGCGAGATCCCAGCCTTGAGCTGAACTGCTTTGGGAAACACCAATGGAAACAGGAAGGAAGCCCTTCAAAGACTGTCACTAACTTGGCTGCATTGAGTCATTACAGCAGGGCAGTGTGATGGAGGCTGCAGGATGCAGGATGAACGCAGGAGGATGCAGGATGCAGAATAAGCCAGCGGGCGCAAGGGGCTATCATCGACCCCAGCTCCCAGGTCAGTGCCCCCCCCAACTCGTGCACTGCATTCTGGGGTACAGCGGGGATCATTTCTGCTGCACTCTGGGGTCTCCAAGCGGAGAGAGGCGAGAGACATAAAAGATCCCGGGGAGCGGCTGTCGAAACTGGGCCACCGGGCCGGTCCGGGCCGCGCCACTCCTGCTCTCCAATGAACAGGGCCGAGCCGCTATTGGGCGGCACTCCGGTGGCCGGGCCTCACTGTGCGCTGAGCTCCTGGGGGAAACGATCGCTCTCTCGCGCGCTGAAGAGCACAGGAAGGCTGCCGGCCTTTAGTTTAGATCCAAGCTCATGACGGAGAGGAAGGGCCGACGGCGCATCTCACAAAGGTCCTGTGAGACCAGCGCAGCTAGGACATCCAAACAAATAACAAGCAGCTCGTGCCTTCGGTAAAACTCGCCATATTATATCCACCCCTTTTCTAACCAAATGTATCCGATACGGGGATGCAGGGGAACCAGAGTCTATCAATGGGCACAAGGCAGGATGCACCCTGAACGGGACACCAGTCCATCCCCGGGCCGACACA